AAGTGTTGGTGAGGACGTGGAGAAACGGAAACACTCCTGTCCTGCTGGTGGGAATGTGAAGCGGTGCAGCCACAGTGGAAACAGTGGGCCAAGTCCTCAGAAATGCTTAACGTAGAATTGCCAAATGATCTAGCAATCGCACTTTTGTGTGTATATGCCCAGAAGAATTAAAAGCAGGCTCTCAAAGACAATAAAGGTGTTTGCACACTCATGTTCATAACAGTATTATTTACAACTGCCAAAAGCTGACAGCAACCCAAATGTCCATTGAAGGATGAATGGATAAACAAAATCTGTTGTATACACACAAGGAAATATTATTCAGCCCTAACAAAGAAGGAAATTCTGACACATGCCACAACTCGAAGAAATTGGAAGACATTATGCTAAATAAAATAAGCCAGTCACACACACACACTAAGAACACACACACTACTGAGTCCATGAATGTGAGGTACCTAGAGGAGTCAGAAATGTAGAGACAGAAAGCAGGACAGTGGCAGGGAATAGAAGAGGGAGTCTCCGTTTTGCAAATGAAAAGAGTTCTAAAAATTGGTTATACAATGCCAATGTCCACGACAGCAGTGAACTGTGCACTGAATTATGTTACGTTATTTACTATGAGAAAATGGGCCCTGGCCGGTTTGGCTCAGCGGTTAGAGCGTCGGCCTGCGGTCCCGAGACACCCGGGTTCGGTTCCCGCTAAGGGCATGTACCTCGGTTGCAGTTTGTCCGCGGCTCTGGTCAGTCGTGCGGGTGGCAGCCACTCGATGTGTCCCTTCACGTCGATGTTTCTCTCTTTCTGTTCCTCTCTCCCCCTCCTACTCTACCTGAACAAAAAATGGAAAAATGTCCTCGGGTGAGGATAAAAAAAAAAAAAAAAAAAAGAGAAAATGGTATTAACAAATCTATTCAAATAATAAATGTTCCCAAGATTTTTACCCTCTTTCAAACAATTTAAATAAAATGTTCTACTCTGGAGAGAACAATGACAGGACTGTGCCGTGAACAGGTCTATGCAGGCCGATGCCCCCCCCTTGTTACCCTGCCCTTGACTTAAGGCCGGCTCCACAGTGTCTTTGGAAGGGACGAGCCGGGCGGGCAAATGGCACCTGTGAGCACCGCCATCATGCAGCTGGCAAAGAGGTTACCATTCAATTTGTCAGTAGCCCTCAAGAAAATTTTGAGAAAATACAGAACTATCATAACCTCTTCCTCTCGAAGTGATAGCTCCGAGACCAGCAGATCCTCTCTCTTAGCTCTTGGGTGCAAATAGCACACAATTCAATGAACTGCCTTATCATGGCTTCCCAGCTGAACAGGAGGAGGCTGGGGCAAAACCCCAAACCATCACTTCACAGGCAAGGCTGCTGCGGCAGAGCAGACAAGCACACCCCAGTTAAGCTCTCCCTGCTTTTCCCTTTGGGACAGATATGCAATTCCTTTGCTGACAAATATCCATGGTAAGACCTAACTGGATTATCTGGTTTAAATTAATAATAGCTTCCAAAGGCTACAAACACAGTAAAATGAAAATAATAATAAAAATAGAGTGCACAGGAAACCCTTCAGCTACATAATCTCATTCTTCCTTTCAACAACAGATGAGAGCTGTTTGCCGATTTTACCGATGAGGAAACTGAAGCTAGGGAGGCCAAATGAGCTTGCAGATAGCTTGGCAAGCAAGCGAGTCCCGGTGTCTGGGATGCCAGAGCAGCCAGCTGGCTTCTTCACGGCCTTGAACGACTTTGGGCAGGTTGCTTCTCTGGTTCTAAGTGCCCCCATTTATGACTGTGATGAGTACGTGAGATAATTGATGAAAATGTCCCTGAGGACGCCATATAGATGGATATTCTGTTTTCTCCTCCCGTCTTCTTCCTCCCCCCAACACCTTGTCATCTCCCCAGTCAAAGTCGGGGCACACTTAGATGGACTCAGAGACCTAGAGGACAGTTAAATATAGCAGTGAACTTGTATTTTCCTGCCAATAAAGAGATAAGGCTGGAAAGGGGAGACCAGGAAGAGAAGGCAGAGACCCTGGTTACTGAAGGGAGCCAATGGGGAGCGTGGGAGGGGGGCAGGGACAAGTGCTGTTCTTTCAGACAAGTTATGGCCTCCAAGAGGGAAGAGAATGCAAATGAGCATATAATGCTGAAACCAGTTGGGGGAAGTTCTTATGGAGTGAAAGGTATTTATACAATCTTAATCTTCCCACAGATTATTACTTAATTACAAAAGGAAACTTGAAAGTAATATTTACAATGGAGAAATCTGGTGGACCTCCTTCAAATGAAAAAGAAATCAACACTAATGGGACCAACTAATATTCTGTGCATCCTGCCAGATGCACCAAAAACACAGTAGCACTGAGTACTAGTCATATACAAAGGCACAACTTGAGCCAAATCACAGGAAACGCCAGAGAAATCCAAGGGAAGGACACCCGCAAAACAAGTGGCCCGTGTTCCACAAAACGTCAGTCTCACAAAATATGAAGATGGGCTAAGGGACTGGTGTTCCATATTAAAGGAGACTAAAAACATGTTAACTAAGTGCAAATACATGATCTTAGTTACAAGAACTTTCCTGGAACAATTAGGGAAATTCAAATATAGACTCTGTGCTTAGGCAACAGAAGGCATCACTGTTCAGCTTCCTGAATGTCATCGCTGCATTGTGGAAGATAACGGCCTGACCCTGGAGTCACATGCTTAGAATTTTGGGGACAAGTTGCAGCACGTCTGCAACCTACTTTCAGGTGATTAAACAAAAACAGTAAAATATGTGTGTGGCCCAGCCGGTGTGGCTCAGTGGTGGAGCATTGACTCATGTACCAAGAGGTTACCGGTTTGATTCCCGGTCAGGGCACATGCCCAGGTTGTGGGTCTGACCCCCTGTGGGGGGCATGCAGGAGGCAGCCAATCGATGTTCTCTCTCATCGATGTTTCCATCTCTCTCTCCCTCTCTAAAATCAATAAAGAAAAAAAAAATGTGGTTATGTATATTTGTATGAAAAGATAAAGCAAAATCAAAATTAACTGATGAATCTAGGTGAAGGGTATATCATGTTTATTATACCATTCCTTTCCTTATGCTGTGGATTTGAAAAAAATATATATTAAGAAATAAATACAAATACCTAGCGGAAAAGATAGGGCAACATTTTAGAAAAATGAGCAGATAACAGCTTGATGGTTCTTCAAAAAGTTAAATGTAGAATTGTCATATGACCCAGCAATTTCACTCTTAAAATAATGTATATACCCAAGAGAAATGAAAACATTTGTCCACACAATAATTTGTACATGAATGTTCACAGCAGTTTTCTTCATAATAGCCCCAAAGTGGAAACCACCCAAATGTCTATCAACAGAAAACTAGATAAACAAACTGTGGTATATCCATACAGTGGAATCTTATTCAGCCTTGAATCAGAATAGAATTCTGAGACATGGTACAACATGGATGAACCTTGAGGACATAATACTAAGTGAAATAAGCCAGACACAAGAGGGTAAAAACTATATGACACTACTTACATGAGGTACTCAGAATAGTCAAATTCATAGAGATAGAAAGTAAACTGGTGGTTGCCAAGGGCTGGAGTGAGAGGAAGTGGGAAATGACTCCTTAATGGATACAGTGCTTTGGGGATGATGAAAACATTTTAGAACTAGATCAAGGTGGTGGTTACAGAACAATGTGAATGTAGTAAATATCACTGAATTGTTCACTTTAAAATGACTGATTTTATGTTACATGAACTTTATCTCAATAAAAAGAACAGAGCAGACAGGGAAAGGAGGAGGAGAACATTACGACTTAAGCAACGGAGTGTGAATGCGAAGAGACCACACCTAGTTGAGCGCTCTCACCCATGAATCTGCTGATTGGAAAGGAAATAGAGTGTCTGATATGCACTGTCGACTGTTTCTGAAATTAATGGGAGGTGCGTAATTCTAATTTACTTGAATTCTGTAAGTATGCTCACACTTACAGTGCAGTAAGAATTAATTATATGCTGGGTCAGTATCTGCCATATTTAACAGAACCTCGACTAACACCAGCAAGAGAAAGTGGGCAACGCTGGGATCCCAGGATCCAGGATTTTAGAGGAAAACATCTCCCTCTAAGAACTGCCCACAGGAAGTGAACTGCCCACGTGGCTGCAGCAGGCTGGACGAGTCTGGTTTTGCTCATTAGGGGCTGCATGGTTTTTAAAACCTGTCCACTCCTTCTGTTTAGAAATCGTGTTTGTTTTCACACACACAAAGCTGGGATAGGAAGAGTGATGGAGTAAGACGTGTATGACCTAACATGTTATCCTTTCCAGAAGTAACTGCATTTTCTATCAGAACCATGAAGAAAACATGATGCTTTATAAAAGCGGGGTGGGCAGGGAAGGAGGGTATTCTTATCACAAAAGAAATTCACATTCACTACAAAAACTTTAGAAAAGACAGATGGGCAAAGGAATCTCCTGGGAAAAACCATTGCTATTATTTTGTGAGCCTACGAAGGCTGTGCTTAACTGTAGGAAATGTTTCACTAACAATCATGGCACTTTGAGCATCTTTAGAAACTTTCTTGGTGAGAAATTGCAATAAATGTGAGGCTTCCTGAAGACCACCAGCAAGGATGGTCCTAAACCAAGTGTACTTTCCCCTGAGATAAAAGCAAACGTCCTGTAGTTAAAATGTGTGTGGGTCCAGAGACTCTGGTGATGAATCATAAAAGAGCAGGCAGAACAATCAGAAATACCCACTGCCCTCTTCCTTATAAATGTTCATTCTGAAAGAGAATTACGAAGTCACAGAGAAGAGGAAGACTAATTTTGCAGGCCAGTTCTTGGTTCCAGGTGGACAGAGAAAAACAAAAGAAACAAAGCTCCTGACACAGTTTAGTGTTTGGCTGAGAAAAATGACAGAAATTGGCTCGAGTCTTTATTTCTCCTGTCTTCACCTCTAGAGTGATCTCTGGCTCCAGAACCACACACTCACCCATCCAGACTTCTCCGAATTGCCCAGCGCCGAGTCTCTTCACCAGCTTGATGGACTCCCGCGGGATTTCCCAGGCATCTTTATCCCACGGCTTTTGTGGTTTGGGACTAATGCAAGCCTTCTCCAGTCTTCTGCACAAGCCATCTGATTGCTCTAGTTAGAAAGAATAAACATTAAAAAACAATTATATTTTGTATTTTACCAGGATCTATGGGGAAGTTTAAACTATTAGTCTTATAATCTTCAACCTGACATAAAATGCTTATAAGGGTATGTTTTTTATAACTGCAACTTTTGAAATTCTTAAATAAAAGACAATGCAAACATACCTGCTTTTATTCATTGCTACTATTAATCTATTAAAACAGTGAAAACATCACAAACAGATAAACAAAGACTGTCACACTTAATAAAATGTAATTTCAAACTGCTGAGCCTATGTATGCTTGTCATAGCAAAAGGACAGGGGCTGGGTCCTGTCTCCAGGGAACCCCAACCCCAGGACAGGGCCGGGGCACAGTAGACACTCAGCACACATGCAGGATGAATAAGTGAATGGGACAACAGAGAAGGAGGAAGGGTTGCACAAATCCGGGGTCCCTTAGTTTGGGACCTAAGCAAAGCTACAATGTATGTTCCCCTCGAGTGGGTTGTAGAAATAAGCAGTAATAACAGCTGCCCAGTATGGCCGACTTCGATCACACAGGGAATGAGCCTAAAGGCTGGTCAGGGGTTCAGCTCAACATGGCTAGAGAGCGGCAGTGGTGGGAGAGGACCAATGACTTGCCACTGCTAAATGTTTTGGGGTTGCTGTATTTCTGGGTTCTGTTACCAAGAGTATGCATTACTTTTGCACACACATACATCTGCAAGTCTGCACTCCTCTTCCAGATTGATAAAGGAGTGTTGTAAAAATATGCACGAGGTGAAAACAGTATTCATTTCCTTTTCATAATTCTGAAATATCAGTGGTCAAACATCAGGGACCAGATGAGAAGGACTGGAATAATTATTCACAAGGATCAAAAATGACTTTGGATGTATACTTAATTATTGATGAATTTAGAACACGGTCCTCTAATATTATCCAAAAGAAACGTAATGCATAAAAGTTTTTAATATAAAAAAGTATCTGACACCATGTATTTACCATGATAAACGTATCTGTCTTACCCGACCTCCAGCTTTTACTTACTTTGGTAATGCTTAATCATGTCACTAATACAAGGAAAAGTGATTCTTGGAGAGATGTAATAACCCCCATTGTCCAGACTTCTGATTTTGTAGTGCTTAATGACGTCGCCATGCAGAGGGTCATAATCCCTGACAGACAGAGAGTAGCTTCCTGGAAGGAGAAAGTACAGGTAAAGATTATATCGATACTTTATAATTGAGGTCTGTTTTAAACAATACTGTAGTACCAATTTTGGCATAAAATATGCAAAATTTAAATTAAGCATATATATAGTACATAATTTGACAAGTTCTATAAAAGTCTACTTGAGCCCTGGGCTGTGTGGCTCAGTTGGCTGAGCATCGTCCTGGGCACCAAAAGGTCACTGGTTTGATTCCAGGTCAGGGTACATGCCCTGGTTTCAGGCTGGATCCCAGGGAGGGGGCGAGCAGGAGGCAGCCAATCGATGTTTCACTCTCACACTGATGTTTCTCTCTCTCTCTGCCTTCCTTTCTCTCTAAAAATCAAAAATAATTAATAAAAAATATTTAAATTAGACAGAGATCCCTAATAAACAACCAGAATGAAAGTAGACCTCATTTAAAAAAAAAACAAAAACAAAAACTTGATAAATAAAGCTAGAATTTTGTTCATTCTGAAGTTTACCAACATGCCATTATCTTCTTCATGATGGTTTTTTAAATGGTTTCTCTAAAATGAAAAGTTGTTTTGATTTCCTTTCTCTTAAAATTTCAAGATTTATTCTAAATAATGATGTAGGAGACTCAGCAAAATGTGGTGAGAAATGGCCATAATTATGCCTGTTTTCTGTTACATTTAGTAGCAAAACTAATAATTTGAGTTTGTTATATTTTCAAACTATAAAATTTCATTACCAGAACATAATATATTCTAGAATAGCTTCTAAGAATGAGTTCCTCAGTGGTGTTTTATAAGAAGCCTTATGGCCCAGCCCATGTGGCTCAGAGGTTGAGCATCGACCCCCGCACCAAGAGGTCACCTGTTCGATTCCTGATCAAGGCACATGCCCAGGTTGTGGGCCATATCCCAGTGAGGGGCATGCAGGAGGCAGCCAATCGATGTACTCTCTCATCAGTGTTTCTCTCTCTCTAAAATCAACAAAGAAAAAATATATGTAAGAAGTCTTACGCCACGACACTTCTTACCCTTTAATGTTTCACTTTCTCTGATGAGAAAGGCCCCAGGGCTGTTCCCTGGAGCCAGAAGCTGCCTCTCTGCATCTTTCCTGGTTATATCCTTGAAAAACCACCTGGGAAGACATTGTAACAGTTCGGTGTTAAGCTCCAGGGAAGAAAAAAGATAAAGAATGAACAAGAAATCACACACAGCAAACAAACCCATCAAAAATGACAGACAACATGTAAGGACTCACTCTTCTGTTTCCAAGGTGTTGACTTTGGCTACATAGTTGCTGGGGATGAAGCCTTCTCTCTTTGTTGAAAGGGATTTAGCTTTCCACCATTCTCCATGCCTGGAATAGAAACATACATCAAAAAGTAAGTCCAGCCCTGGCCGGTTTGGCTCAGCGGTTAGAGCATCGGCCTGCGGTCCGGAGAAACCCGGGTTCGGTTCCCGCTAAGGGCATGTGCCTCGGATGCAGTTTGTCCCTGGCCCTGGTTGGTTGTGCGGGTGGCGACCACTCGATGTGTCCCTTTCACATCGATGTTTCTCTCTCTCTCTGTTCCTCTCTCTCCCTCCCACTCTATCTGAACAAAGAATGGAAAAATGTCCTCGGGTGAGGATGATAAAAAAAAAAAAAAAAAAAAAGTAAGTCCAGCCCTGGACGGTTTGGCTCAGCAGTTGGAGTGACGGCCTGCGGACCAGAGAGTCCCGGGTTTGGTTTCCACAAGGGGCACGTACCAAAAAAATAATATGTCCAATTACTCAAGAACTACAAAAGCAATCGTCTCAAGGTGTTCTGGGGGGTGAGGGATGGTGGGGGAGATTCCTGAAATCTCAGAACCCAGTGGGAAAATTCACTCCTCTTGCTGAAATGAAAATATGTTTGGAGACTGAAGCAAAGAAAAACAGTCTCACAACCAAAGGCTGGGTCATTGTGTTCAGCACTGCACACACCACGGCTGGTGAAAATAGTTCCTACTCTGCAGAAGCAAAATGTTTGTAATTTCCCAAAGCATACCCAAGAAATCCTTTAGGATCCTTACAGGCATGGGAGTCAAGGGAATAATGAATCATAGTCCCTATGTTATAAACTCCTTTGTCCAAACATCTAGTTTACATAGATCGATGCCATAGAAAAAGAAACAGAAAACCATAATTTCAAGCAGGCAGACCTCATCACTTGCTCTTGGCCTCAGCATGGAGCTGGGGAGGAGGACGGGGCAGTGAAGGAGGGAAAAATGGGCGGGTGCCTATGAGCCTCAATTATGTTGCCCTTCAAATTCCCACACAGATGGATCCTCATCAGCAAACAAGGAGGACTACAACGGGCACTGATCTATACGCCTGCGTTATATTTATCCGTATCATGCTCAACCAGTGAGCGATAATAGCTCTCAACCACCGAACACTTTATAGTTAATAAAGGGTCTTCCTCCTTTAATCCTGGTTGGCAGGCCAGGGCGCCATGTATGCAGATTAGAAGGAAAAGCAACCTAGATTGAAATAGTTGGAGTTCCTTATTCTCAGTACTGTTCTGAACTTCCATGGTCTGAGTAGGGTCACAGGCCTGTGAGTCAGCATGCTGAGTAGGGGCTTTTTCGAGATGACCACTGCATCAGCATAGTGCCCTTATAAATAGAACCAAGTTGGACCCATAAACCAAGTCTGAATTTGAGTAATGCAACTAAATAAAAACGGCATTATAATAACATGCACATTCCACACACAACCAAACTTCTTAAGATGGCAGAGATGAGTAAGAAAAAAACCAGCCCTGGCTGGTGTTTCTCAGGGGTTAGAACACCAGCCTGCTTACCACAGGGTCAAGGGTTTGATTCCCAGTCAAGGGCATGTACTTGGGTTGCAGGTTCGATTCCCAGCCGGCCCCCGTCGAGGCACGAGCGGGAGGCAACCAACTGATGTGTCTCTTTCACATCGATGTTTCTCTCTCTCTCCTCCCCCCTCCACTCTTTCTCTAAAAATCAATGAGAAACAAAAAATCCTCGAGTGAGGATTTAGCAAAAAGGAGAAAGAAAAGAAAGACAGGAAGACAGAAAGGAAGAGAGAGTGAGAGGAAGAGAGAGAGAAGCCAGTGTCTGTCTTCAAAGGGAAACCTCTGGAGGACGCTCGCAGGCCAATCTCAGAGGACAGTTTTTCAGCCCTGCCCCCGCCACTCCCAGCCCTGCCGCAGCAAGGAGGCTGCCTGGGAGGCCCCGCCCCAAGAGGGGATCAGGCTCTTGCTGCGCTACTGGGAGTAGCACGAGGGGCCAGCGTGTAAGACCCGACGGCCCGGGCACGGGGCAGCAGGAGCAATGTGCCTGGGCGTACTTACTCCTCCAGGACTTTCATCTTCTCTCCTTTCCTGAAAGACAAGTCGTCCGGGTGGATGCCATCATAGGGGTACAAGGCTATCACAATGTCTCCTTGTTCCTCTGGGTCTAAAAACAAAGAACACAAATGAAGACCTTTAAAAACTCATCAGCAGAAAACGTTTTGACAAATCCTCACGGGCACAAAGGATAACAGCATGTGCTGAAGAGACAGGGAGCTGGATAATCGTGTGTTTCCTTCCTAGTGGGTCTCACGGCCCACATGGTCCACAGTAAATAACATGCTGTATACATAGACGGTGTGCAATGTTCACTATCTCATATCATGCAGAGCTACACCTGTATTCACTCCAACTCTGTTTTTAAGAAATGATACACCATGCTCATAACAGTATTATTCATAGCAGCTAAAAGGAGGAAACAATCAACTGTCCAGTCACAGATGCATGGATAAACCAAATATGATCTATACATACTCTAGTGTTATTATTCAGCTTTATAAAAGGAAAGAAATCCTGACACCAGCCACACATGAGTGGGCTTTGAGGGCATTATACTAAGTGAAACAAGCCAGTCACCGAAGGAAAAATACCCTGTGATTTCCCTTATATGAGATTCCCAGAGTATCAAACTCACAGAGACAGAAGCAGAATAGTGGGTGCCAGGGGCTGGGAGGAAGAGGGACGGAGTTAGTGTTTAAGGGTATGGTTTCATTTTGGAAAGATGGGGAAGTTCTGGAGACGGATGGTGGTGAAGGTTCTACAGCAGTGTGAATTTGCTTAATGCCATTGACCTGTACACTTAAAAATGGTTAAAACAATCACTTTTATGTTATGTTTATTTTTCCACAATAAAAAAATAACACCCAGGAAAACGACTTCAAAGAGTCTCCAGCAGTAAAGAAAAGAAACCACCATGTTGCTATGAAAACATACCTTTAGTCTGAAACCTCTGTCCCGGTAAAAGCTGCGATTCTGGAACCTAGGAGAGAATATTGGTTACAAAAGAATTTGTATGTTTCGCTTTTCTTATTCACATTCCTGTTGTATGTTGTGTCATTTTTCTAACAGCAGCAAATGAGGTTTAGATTTGCTCATTTATTAAGCCAGAAAGAGGAGGACAGAGAAACATTCTGCAGAGCTCTGTCCTCCTCTACACGGCTCTTCCTTCTGAACAGTCATTTGCCTGTGGTGGCGGGAAAGGAACAGGGCTCTGGGCAGGGCTGCTGGATGCTCACCCAACTGTCCTTCTCACTGTTATTCAGTAACACAACCCTAATATTATTTGGGAGGCAATTTGCCCCGCTAAGTGGCTATGCTTCCAAATTCTCTAGCATTCTGTGCAGATGGAGGGAAGCAGTGTATCTATAAACAAAACAGTTGTGTGGGCCTCCGGGGCCTGATTCCCTTTGGCCTTGCCTTCCAGGTAAAGGCTGGAGTCTCCGCAGCCAGGGAGACCAGGCAGCAGGGACAGCAGAGCAAAGACGGAAGTGGCCTGGGACCTTGGGACCTTGTGGAATAGCCTTCCAAGCCAGGATGGCTGATCTCTGCGTTTCCCAGACTTACTTAAAAAACCGTAGTGAGGGCTCTGTTACTGGCTGCTGAGAAACAAGTCCTGATCCATCCAGGCTCTCTATGGCTGACCTGACCCATCAGGAGGACAGATGGCATCCCCTGTTATCTTAGTTGGAGATGAACTCTCAGGAAGAGTGTGACGGCACAAAAGGCTATTTTAAATACCTTTTAAATCAAATTCCTTTTTCTCTCAGTGAATGTGAGGAGGATGTATAAGACCTCTTGGACCCCTTTAAGGAAAGTACTCAGAGACCTATAACCACAAATGATGTAACTTTTCTGTTTGATTAGAGTGATTTAATGAAATGGGACCAAACAGTTTGTACTGAAATTTAAATTTCGGCTGACAGTTAGCCCATAAAATCTGGGCATGGTGGTGGCAGTGGTGGTGGCGGGGATTACTTTTTTTTCTGGTATCAGAAAATCATGGGTCCATATTATTCTTCAATACTTATTTCAAAAAGTTTTATACTGATTTTTAATCATTTAAATTTGCATAATTAGAATGTATGACAATTTTAAATGACAGAGGAAATAATTAGAAAATGAGAAACTAAATCATTTTGAAAGCAGCAGGCTGCTTTTCAAATATCAAAATGTCCCTAATTTGCTAATGTTTTAACACACTTTTTATAACACATATGCATCTCATCTACCCTTCCTCACTTTCCTTAAAGTGTCTGTTCCTTAGCCACTGGGGGGCTGCCTCCCCTCCCTGTCGATCCAGGGTGCGTTTTCGGTGCATCTGCCGGAGCTGAGAGTTCTCTGTGGCCATGGAATTAGGCCAAACTAACCGGCTCATGAAACAGGGCAGCTGTGACCACATAAGGTACAACTAAAATATGGGAATTGAAAGATGTCAAACATGTTTACTACTTCTGCTTTCTAACTTAATTTTTAACCTCCTTTACTTTTAATAAGATAAAAAAAAAGTGGTGTGTAAGTTTGTACTATTTTCCTTTGCTTCTCTGAATAAAAAACAACAACAACAAAAAAAAAACTTGTTCATCATTAAAGAAAGAAACAAACAAACAAGCATGGGTTTTAAAGCATGTAATATCTGGCATATGTAACACCAGAAAAAGCCAGATCCCCCTTTTTAAGAGATCTCTGAAGCCTATAATAAAGAGACTATTTGTGACTTCAATTCCTTATATCATTTTTTTTCTATTAATCATATTTATATAATATATAGTTCTACATCTATACCTATTAATGCAAAAGTAAGTTTATAGTCGTTCATATAATATATAATATATATATTATATATATATAATACAAGGATGAATATATAATACAAGAATAAATAATAATACAGGAAGAAACTGTGTTTTGTGTACTCACAATTGTAAACCTACCTGTAGGATATACATATTTATAACTAAATCATTAAAGCTGTTAATAATCTTATACATTTTGAGTTTCTATATAAAATTACAGTGTTAATGTTTCTATCCAGAATATCATGTATATTCACTCTTCATTTTCATTTCTTTTTAAGAAGGTCAATAGTGACTTATCAATTTCAACAATGACATGTGACTTGGACATACGTCATACCTGTAGGATAATGGGGAACGGGGGGGAGAAGGCTGGCTGAAGGTCTCGGTAACAATAATACACTTCTAGAATGCCAAGGCATTTAAAAACATGTCAAATGAGAGAAATTATAAAAACCACTTAATAAAGGCATTTGGGTTAATTTGGAATTAGCTGCTTCCAGATTAAATGCTGAGGAATTCCATAAAAACCAGGCTACAAGATGTGTCATACATATGTTTCATATGTTATCATACACAAAGAGAGAGCATCGTCCTGGCCAGGTGGCTCAGCTGGTTGGACTGTCGTCCCCTACACCAAAAGTTCGCCGGTTCAGTCCCTGGTCAGAGCATGTACGGGAGGCAACTGATGGATGTTTCTCTCTTTCTCTCACTCTCTCTCTCTACCCCACCTCTCAAAATCAATAAAAACATATCCTCAGGTGAGGATTAAATAATAAAAAAAGAGAGAGAGGATAAATGGAAAGGATATAACATCTGAGAAAAAGTGCATCCAAGGCTGTAATTGTCCAAAGCTTCGTTCTTCCTTCCCCATAAAATGTGACGTTCCTCTCCCTTCGCCCAGCATTGCCAAATTCATGCACGTCACTCATGGAACGTTTGTGGTGCAGATATTTGTGCAAAGTTAGTGGACAGAATTAGCTGTGTGTTTTTAAAAATCATTAATTATAGTGAACTGTGACAACCTCAGTATCTGTACTCATCAATTAATTGAACAAGATGGTGCAAAGGACACACTAGCACCTATTTTGGCTTCTGACTGGAATGCAGCATTTCCTTCTGCGTCCAGACCATTGCACTCATCTCACTACCTGTCCTAAATCACACGCGCTCAGATGGACATGTATGTCTTTATATGTAAAAATTGGGCATTCGCACCAGTGATATGCAAGATGAGTTTTTCTGCACACGAGGTGACCAAAGGCCGCTCTATCGTACAGTAAGTGACCTGATTTCTCTCAAATGTTTACAGGCTCTTTACAGGATTAAGTCACAAAGCATATCAAGAATGAGGCCTGCCCAGTCGGTGTAGCTCAGTGGAATGAGCATCGTCCCATGCTCCAAAAGGTCACCGATTCGATGCCCGGGTTTCGCACTCGATCCCCCCTAGGGAGCGTGCAGGAAGCAGTCAATTGATGTTCTTTTGTCGATGTTTCTATCTCTCTCTCCCTCTAGAACAATCAATACAAATACATTTTTAAAAAAGGAAAAGAATTGAGGCCCAAGCTCCTGCTGCAGTTCTCTGCACGCACATGCTAGACAGAGATCTGGTGTTTAACTCATGCAGCCATGCTTCCATCCTGCTGTGGGAACGCTCTCCTGAGACTATCTACTTACTGGCCTTGGCTGTTTATTGGACGTTGGATCTCTCACATAAATAGTTCGGTCAGTATTACGTACTGGTTGCGTCTTCAAATCTACTCCATCGTCATTCAGATTGTCTTTCCTTTTTGATTTTATACATCCCATATTTCCTGTTAGAATATAAAAGCAATGACATTGTTTTACCATTCTAGAACCGGCTTCAAGCCTCCAAAATCTCTCCATTGAAGAAGAATAAAAACAATACATTTTTTTATCATAGATAGTTAAACAAACTCAAATGTGGATATTGTTCACATTTGCTTAGATATTCATTTGTTCATTCATTTCTTCAAACATCTATTTATTTGGCATCAGTTTTATGTCAGCAAGACATAGCTCCTGCTCTAAAGATGTTCATATTCTGTGGCAAACGTGTGAACTAAATCGACAGGACAGTGGTTGGTCAATGACAGAGGATGCCCCAGATCTGGGAAAGGACATCTAACTCATGCAAGAGGAAAAGGCGGTGGTCAGGGGAAGCTTCCTGAAGGAAATGCTCTGTGAGTTAAAATGGAAGTGACGTCAGCCAGGTGGCAAAGTCAGTAAAGAAATTTCAGAAGGAAGGACCTTCAGGTGCAAACTATTAACCCTGAGACAACGCGGTCCCTTCACTGGGAACTAGTTCTATAGTATGAACCCCCTGACAAGGGGCAGGTAGGGAAGGCCAGGAGCTGGGCTGGAGGACAGGGAGGCACACCCTGGGTGCAAGGCAGAGGAGTTTGTTTGCCTCCCAACCCCACCCCTCAAGGTGAAGGACTCTGTATACAAGGTGAAGTGAGGGGCTCCAGGCTTCAAAGGCAAACATGGTTAAGAATTAGAATGCACAGAACCTGGCCCCACTGAATGTGGCTTGGGAAAACGGCAGGGACCTTCACCAAGACTGGAAATAAAAGAGGAGACAAAGGTATGGGAGAAAAGATGATTTGTAGGAGCATCCAAAAGATGAAATCCAGTAGGCTTCCTGGTAAGATACCTGACTGAAAATCCAGAGGTGGCAGAGAGACAGGCACAAATGATGGCAGCAGCAAGCCAGGGTCTGCGTAAGCCTTCGGAGGAAGGACTGGGGGCTGGGGCTGGACCAGTGCGAGTGACAGAACCATCCTTCTAAATGCCAAAGTCTTATTCAGTCGCTACTAGGATGTGTAGAGCACCACACAACGTACTCTGGGGACTAAAAAGATGATTTTAAAAATTGAAATCAGTCCTGGCCAGTTTGGCTCAGCGGTTAGAGCTTCGGCCTGCGGACCAGAGAGTCCCGGGTTCGGTGGGTTCGGTGTCTGCTAAGGGCATGTGCCTCGGCTGTAGTTTGTCCCTGACCCTGGTTGGGGTTGTGTGGCTGGCAGCCACTCGATGTGTCTCTCTCACGTAGATGTTTCTCTCTCTCTCTTCCCCCCTCTCTCCTTCCTGCTCTATCTGAAGATAAATGCAAAAATGTCCTTAAATGAGGATAAAAAAAAAAAAAAATTTGAAATCAGATATGAATCTTGCCTTACAGTATAGCCTCATGGTCAAATCTATACGCTGAAAATAAAACAAAATCTGCTATGAGCTTCACGTGAACGTCCTTTGCAGCGTGGTTTCCAAACCTGAAGGACACCAGAATCACCTGGACCAGCAGAGCAGATTCCTGGGCACTTCCCAGGAAATTCTCCGGGAGCTCAGAGGGGGCAGGGTTCTCCCAGGTGACCTATGTAATTCAGAAGCACAGCCATTGGGGGACCCCTGCCAAGAACTCCAGAGAAGGGCGAGACGATTTAGAGTTTGGAGAAGACAGAGGAACTGCTCTCGGAAATCCCAAGAGCACCCCTCTAAACTGTCCCCCACCCGCATCGCGGCCGCAGCTCATCGTTTGTGCATTGCTTCCAGGTGGACCTGCCTTGTTTATCATTTCATTAGCCGAGGGAAGCCTCTCAAGAACAGTCACACCTCTTTCTGAAACTAGTGAGCTGTAGTTCCCAAAATAAAGGGGAAGCAAGTACTTATTTGATTCAAAACAGCACATATTTTTCATATGCTAAAGTTTCTGAAATGAAGATGGGTTTTCAAGTTGATCAGTAAATAAGCAAGTGAGATCTTTTTCCACCAGTCCCAGTCCCTCTTCCCACCCCCACACCCCTAAAAAAGCATGTTTAACTGATCAGCTATTAAAATGGTGCTATATAAATGAGGGAATATGGTCCATTATGGAGGCCTCCTGCACTGACCCCTCAGCTCTGTGTGCGCTCAGGGGGAGGAGTCTTGGCTGGTAGGCTGGGCAATCCGGACCCAGGAACCCCACCAAGCTGGGGCTGCCCCCTTGCTTTCCCCTGGCGCCTCACCTCCCCTGCCCTCTCCCTATTTCTTGTCTTCTCCCTCTCGAGTTCTCCCTTTTTTCCAGATCTCTACAAAAATGTTACCCACAACAGATCTTCACTAACCATCTGATTGAAAATATCACCCCTCTGCCCACACCTTACGATGTACAATTTTATCTTTCTTATTATGACCATCATCCCATTACATAGTGGTTTCTTTTTGGTCAGCTCTCCAAAAAAGTGGGAGCTGGTGGGGCAGGTCCCAGCACTTAGAACAGGGCCAGCTCAGAGCAGGGGGTCTGAGAACATGTATCGAAAGAATGGACAGAGCAGCTCTGGGTGCTGCACTGGGGCTCCCTGCATCCCCCCGAGACCCTCCTGATAGAGGCGGGTAAGGGAAAGAAAGGGAGGAGCCATCCCCCACCACCAGTTGTTTTAAAAAAGACAGAGACCTCTAGAACAAACTTCTAGTTTATAGGAACAAAATGGAAAATCTTTAATATGCACTAAAGACTATACGAGCCTGGATACTTCCAGACATATGGGAGGAGCTGTGGAAATAGTCCATGTTAAGTGAGACTAAAGAGACACAATATGTGAACCTTGAATGAATCTTGGATGGGGAAGGCGGAGGGGATGCTGGTATAATTGAGGAAATCTGAAAAAGTTTGAACATGATATTAAGGGATTGTATGTTTTATAGGCGTAATAATGGCACTGTGGTTATGCTGAGAATGTCCACATCTTGGGATATGCCAGGTGTGTGGTCATGAAGGCTCAGGGTGTCTGCAACCGTCAACGCTTCAGTCAAAATGAAAAAAGGTGAGGGGGATGGAGGGAGAAGAGGGGACAAATAATAAAGAATTTGTGAATTTAAGTGAGGATATTCTTTTTTCCTGTAGATTTGAATTTTTCAAAATAAAACGTTGGAGGGGGTGAAATAAGGGGATATTATAAAGAACTTTATGCAGAAAACTTTTTCAAAATCTTAGACACTCCTATAGTGTGTGTGTGTGTGTGTGTGTGTGTGTGTGTGTGTGTGAAGGCAAGAGATGAGATTAGAAAAATACTTTTCGGGGTGTTATTTGTATGTCAGGTCAAGCAGTGTGGACTTCATTTATAGCCACGGAAAGGTTTTTAGCTGGAGGAAGGACACGCGGAGATCTCTACTTCAGCAAGAGGACTCTGTGGGAGAAGGGGGGCAGCTGGGTGGGGAACTCCACCACAAAGGCCTCTGAGGGCGTCCAGACAGACGACAAGGATTCCCAGAGCAGTGGCCCTGGAGAGGAAGATGAAGAATGAAAATAACAAGCAGTGGATGGAAGAAGGGGTAGCAATAGTCCACGGATTATCATTTACTTATCCTTAGTTTATGTTTTCCCTCCCCCATCATCATGGACAACTGAGAACGAAAAGTATGTTTTGTAGAAGAGAACAGTTACAATACTACTCCACAGGGAGCCCTGCTGCTGCTCAGGCTGAGGGGCCTCTGCTGACCGCCCACCAGGTTTTGCGATTGCTTCACTGTGCAGAAAGTACCAGAAATGTACAGAATACAATGTAGCCCCAACAGAAACTGAGAAAGTAGTTACATGTTTGCAAGTGATATGGGCTACAATTTACAATGATTTACACCTTAGAGTTTTTAAATTAAACGTTTATAATTTCCTGAGCGTCTCATTTAATCTTCAGAGAAACCGTATAAGCCAGGTGTTATTAACTCCATTTTACAGAGGAGTAAACTGAGGGATAAAGACACAGGAAGACTGGCCCAGAGTCACAGTGCTAGTGAAGGGTGGGGTTGGGACTCCACCTTTAGCCAGAAGTGAAAGCCTAACGTCTGTCCCCCACTTTTTTTTCTTATATGATGGCTCTTTTGAAACTGACGTTTTATCTACTTACTAATGATGCTAAATGAAGAGATTATATTTATAGCCTGCTTCTTTAAAAAAAAAAGTTTTTATTGATATTTTAGAGAGAAAAAAAGGGAAAGAGAGAAACATCAATAGGCTGCTTCCTGCAGGCCCCTTACTGGGTATTGAGCCCCAAACTTGGGCATGTGCCCTGCCCGGGAATCGAACTGGGACCTCTCAGCCCATGGGGTGACGCTCAATCCACTGAGCCACACTGGCCGGGCAAGACTGCTGCTTTCTTAAAAGGACTTGGAATGCTTTTCCAAAAAAGACAATGATAAGTTTAATAAAATGAAAACAGAAAACCCAAGCCAACAAAGAGAGGAGAATGCAAATGTGGAGGCAAGGTGGGTACCAGACAGGCTGGCACGTTTCCGGCAGGAAGGGCCGGAGGCAGCGTGGGTCCCGGCTTGCCCAGCGCTGCGCGAGGCGAAGAGGAAGCAGAGGGAAGGGAGGCCCCGCAGAAGAATCTAAGGTTACTGTGACGGACCTCACATACAGAGCTGTGGATGACGCAGTTGGCAATGCCTTCTTTTTTGTTTTCTTTCTTTCTTTCTTTTTTAACAGTAAATAAAGGCACATATTACTTGTGGAAACTTTGAGCAATGATGACAATAATAACTGGGGGTTTGACATGCAAATATAACTCCAGGATGTTCATCACAAAAGCTCGACTAGACGGTCTGAAGAGACACGGACAGCTGGGCAACCCTGCCTCACAAAGGGACACCCACAAGCACATCCAGGAAAGGGAGGCAGGTGACTTTCTCCAAAAATGTTTTCACTGGAACAAATATTCATTAGGGGTGGCTCATCCTCATTTAAGGGCCTTAGAATATAAAATCTATTTTTTTAAAAACACCCCAAAACTGACTCTGAGGTAAAAGACTCATGATGTCCCCT